CTGGGTTCAAGTGATTCTCATGCCTCAGCCTCCCAAGTAGCTGGGATTACAGGTGCGAGCCACCATACCCAGCTAATTTTATATTTTCAATAGAGACGGGGTTTCACTATGTTGGCCAGGCTGGTCTCGATCTCCTGCCCTCAGGTGACCCATTTTCCTTGGCCTCCCAAAGTGCAGGGATTACAGTTGTTAGCCACCATGCCTGGCCAACAATAAAAATAGTTTTAATAAATGTAGATAATTTATTATCTATATTTTAAAGATAATATTGTGCCATGGGCAGACTTTCTAGTGTAATAATCCAGCAAGAGATGATATGAGGACCTAAGGAGGAGGAATAAAAGAGGGAAAATTATAAAGTAAAATCCACTGGGTTTTGCGATTTTGTAAGTAGAGGGAGACTACACTGAAACAATATTTCCACCTTTGGTGAATGGATGGGTGGTGATGTACAGCAGTCAGTTGTAGACACTAGAAGATGTAGACACTAGAAGTTGGATAATTGGAGACAGGAGAAATGTTTAAGATTGAGATACATTCAAGATGAAAAAAAGATTGGTTTTTTATTGATACACTATAAAAGCAGTAATAGAGTGTCTTCAAACAGTTTAGCACATCATAAGATACTTAATATAGTATAAATCCTCTAGGAGGGAGAACATTCCATTTAAAATTATATCAAAAAAGAAATTCTTGGTCAGTCTTTGGCTGTGGAGTAGGAAAAACCTTCACCCCATGGACTGATTCATGGAATAGAGAAGGCCTCAAGTCTTTCCCTTGCCCACTGCAACTGTCTTATGGTAAAATATTATCCAAGTATTTTATGTTTGTTTCGAGTCAAGTGATACAGAAAGGAACCTTTCTCCTAGAAATATTGATTCTGTGATTAAGAGCAAGACTTTTTTTTCTGATTGTTTAATTTGGGGAAGGAGGTATGGGAGTGGCTCTATAATATAATATGAAACCACTGACCAACACAAAGTGGTAGCCCATTTTATGGAAAGACTCTGAAGTAATGAGATATACTATTTCTATGCCGTATTTTAGTTGACTGTACAAATTCACCTAGCTTTTCCTATTATTAATTTTACTTCATTAGAAAGGAGTAAGTGAATGTTGCCAGTTCCTTCTCAATTCCTTAGTCAAAGCAAAGGAATGAGAATTATTTCTGAGCCTTATCTTAGATTCAACAGTTTTCTCCATAGAGTTAAAGAGATTGCTTAAATCCCGCCAGTTTTACCACCTACAAAAAAGGATGCACTGGAATTTGAAGGAATAATTAAATGTGCATAGAATATAAGTTCTAGTGTACATCTGTTGACAGCTAAAAGGAAAGAACCTTGGGCTGTTTTTGGAACATAAAACAGTTACTAGTCAAATGCATTTGCCCCTGGTCTCTTTTGGTGTATTCTCTGTATTGTTCTGATTGGAGTTATATTGAGTGCCTTCTAGTACCTATGGCTAGTGGGGCTTACATAGAACCAGGTCTGGAGCCGAAGGATAAGCATAAGCTGGAGATAAAATCTTGGGACAAATCATCTATGGATGACAGTTAAAAACTTGACATAAGGCCCAGTGACCTATAGAGTGTATATATTTGAGAAAGCACTGGTTTGAGCATATGTGTATATAGCCATAGACAAAAATCAGCATTTAAGAGGCAAAAAGGGGAAGTTCCTAGAAGGAAACCAAGTCATTTCTGGTTAACTACTCTATATCTGAGAAAAAAAATGGGAAAATGTAGAAGGAAGGGAGTGGTCAGCAGAGTCTAATGGGGCAGAGAGAGCTATTGTGGTAAGTCCTGGAGAGTCTCCATTGTTTGGTGCTGAATGACTGTTGTGCTTAGGGAAAATGTCGGGAGCACTATCCTGTGATTTATTCTGCGTCCATGCCAGAGGGTAGAATCAGGCTCAGGGTAGCAGTAGATATTATCTATAAGATAACCATCTTACAGAGATGTGAGAAGGAATATTTTTTTTGGTTAAGAGGTTACCTATAAAGCTGCTTTACTCCTCTAGAAATTCAAGATTCGACTATGCTAGTATCAGGGCAGCTCAACTTTGAATCATTGGCAGTAGGGCTTGAATAGCAGGATTATCCTCTTTACTCTGGGGTCTTTCATTTGCTAGAAATGGCAATACTGTAAAGTTGGATACACTAAATTTTCTGCAAGCTGTTTTAGATGCCCATTGGAACTTGTATTCCTTAATGAGCACATACTCAGCCAAAGCAGCAACGTGCATATAACCTGTGCTTTGCTTTTTGACTTTTAAATCAAACTAAACATTAATATAGGAAGTTTTGATAATAATCCATGAACTGCATCTCTTTTAAAAGGTAGTGTAGTGCTCTTCCTGTAGTGTAACCATAGCAACGGACAAGGAACAGAGAAAGAAAGCTTTCACACATGCTGTGCTAATTAATCCTGTCCTACAGTTTGCTTTCAACTGAAGAATGCAGTTTAATAAATTTTGCATGAGTAAGCATGTTTTGATGCATGAACTGTATAAACAGCAATATCTTTACCAAAAATATTTGTTAAAAAATGTAGTTGTATATATTTATACTTCAAAGTCTCTTTCTTTCTTTCCTCTTTTTTTTATTCTTTTCTTTATCTTTCTGTGCTTCTTTTTGTCTTCCTTTAATTTTTATTTTTTGAGTCATCATTTTAATAATTTTCTCTATTCCTGAAAAGTTTTAGGATTTTCTTATTAACCAAACAGATATTTTGGGGGTGAAAACTTTTTGTTCATCAATAAAGAGGACACTTTCTACAAGAAACTGTTTTCATTGACTAACTATATTCAAATGAGATAAGAGAATTTTTCTCAAGCAGTGTAGAATAATGTATCTTAAAAATATAGTAACATTCTTCACTTTATCTGACACATTTACCTGCAAACCATTTTAAGAGACTTTGTCTTAAGCTTTGGATAGTTAGATATTGAAATTTATTTGTACTGTTGTTTGGGGAAGTTATGTGGCTCATCTGAATAAAATTGGAGTAGTCTTTGGCTTAAACATGTGGGAAAGAGGACAATCATGGAGGTAAAGCACTTTTTTTCTATTTGTACTTTTCAAAAATATTTAACCAGTTTAGCAAACTCATATTCAGAGTGAACAGAGTTGATCTGAAATTGCACATGATTATTTTGATTTATATTACTTCCAGGTTGTTTTGAAGTCTTATTTTTTCCCTACGACTGGGAACATCACAATTTTTTTAGAACTAGCTTGGTCTGAGCTGTCAATGAAAATCTTCAACTTTTTCATTCTCTCATCCTTCTGGCTTAGCTTTCTGACAACAGGGCCTCGGGAAAACCAGGGGAGTCAATCCTAAATGTTTTTAGCATCCCATTTGACTTGACAACAGCATATGGAACAAATCATGACGTATTTCAGGACTTGTGCCTGGCTCTTTAGTCTTCATATGGAACCACAGTCATTTGAGTAACCAACCCTTTTGATGGGATTACCAAATTCTGCAGACATTGTATCATCTTGATTGTCCTATCTGTTTTTCAATTTTGCCTGAATTAAGGTAGGATAAAACCTTGCAGAGGAAAGAAGGAAAAAAGGAAGAGGTTGTTATAGAAATCTTTTATCAAAAATAGTTTCTCCATTCATATACACACAAATTGGGGACCATGAATGTGTAAGGATGTCTCTGTGTGTATAATCTGTATACTTTAATATGGAATACTTATAAATATTAACCAATTCATAGTATACTGTTGCATTATTATTAAAACTGCCTTGTAGAAAAAAATTGGGACACTGTTACCATGGTTGAATTAATTAGAAATTCTTTGTATTACCAGCTGTCTTATTAATTTTAAAATTTATATATAATTCTGAAAATGGAGTGCCATATTTAATAAATGAGAAAAAGTCATTTCGTTACTACTACATAAAAAATTTTAAATAGTGAGAACCTTAAAATGAATATGTTATGGTAGGTTCACTGTAAAAATATTTTATGTGCTATGTACATCATAACCATAAATAATACTTTATACTTGTCTGTAATGAATACAGCTAGATAGAAAGCTGTCATATGGGTTTTTTTCTTTTAAAAAATAACATCTATAGATTTGGAGGTTTTAAAATGATTGCACATTCATTGTACAAATCTTGGGAAAACTCTCAGAAAAACTTACTAAAAAAGAGGATAATCCCATATTCCAGAGGTAACCACTGAAGATATTTAAATGTATTTTCTGCCAAACTTTGTTTTTTAAAGAGGGGGGGGGAAACCAAAACCATTTTTTTGTGCATGAGTATTTATGGTTATGAGGTCAAATTGCATCTGCCTTTTCACTTAACATCTTCCCAGTTTAAAAAAAAAATTCTTAGAGGACATTTTAATTTATCATATATGAGTTCATCAATGTATGTACCAGATTTATTTGACTGTTCCTTTGTAGTTATTTCTTTAGATGTTTTTTCAAAAGAACTTGTGCAATAAGCATTTCCTAATGATTATTTGACAGAACACTGAAACCACAAGAAATTGTAGGACAATTCTTGGAGGAAAGTATCATATTCTCCTCTTGCAGATTCACAGTATGCATTAGAACAATTAAGAGAACTGAGAAGTTTCACAATTTAGGGACTTTTTACCTATCTAAATCTATTTTTTTCTCAAAGTTATTTGACCAAGGAACCCTTTCTCACAATACTTATAACTCTTTTGAAAAATTCAAGAGATTTCTAAGCTCCTGTGTTATCTCGGTTTATGAATTATTTGTTTACTCTGCTGATATTTTATTAGATTAATGATATCAGTGCTTTATTAGGAAATAGAAATGATTTAATGGTTATTAGCATGTGTTAAAAACAGAAATAACAATCCCCAATTCTCTATTAACTTTGACATTGGACTCCTGATTCTGTATTAAAAGATCAGGTTTGACCTTTAAAATTGTGAGCATTGGAATTTAAATTCCCTTGTTTTGCTAACGCTTGTTAAACTTCTTTATGTTTCATGTAACCCACAGGTCTTGCAAGAGCAAAATCCGTCCCTAGCCACACATACTCCAACGAAGTGGTTACCTTGTGGTACAGACCTCCAGATGTCCTTCTAGGCTCAACAGAATATTCCACCTGCCTTGACATGTGGTGAGAAATGGAAGCTTTATTCTAGCTAATCTATCTCTAGTGCTTGGTCTGGGTCAAGCCTAGACAAACATCCTAACAGTTTGAATGAAGATTAATAGTGCAGGAGTGTTTGCCTGCATGTGGCCATACTGCTGAATGTTTAAAAACATGATTGGGAATGTTCTCTAATTAGAGTCTCCTTTGCAGGTGGCGTGTGGTAATGGTTCTTGATGGACAGGGGCAGAGACATTTTTCTAACTGTCAGTATCATGATTTTTCTCCCTAAGGGTCTTAATTTGTGACTGTATTTTATAACAAGGGAAGTATATATCTCCAAATGGCAACAGGATTGAAGTAGCAGGGAGCCTGTTTAAATTTGCAACAAAGCTCTGATGAGTGGTCTGATAATTTTGGTATAACTGTTAGGCACCAATTTGACTCCACAGTATGTTCCTGAAAACTTCTGACACTAATTGCCCAAAATGAAATAAAATGACTACTTTTAAAAAATATTATGTGTTTAGTTTTAGTTCTTAATTTCACACAATGCGTTTAGCAAAGCTTAAAAATCTATTTTATGAGGTCTAATGACTGGCAAGATTTAATTCATAATTAGTATTAATGGTATATACTATGCTGAGTTTCCAATTAAGTGTGATCCAAATCAAACAATCAAATAATGGAATAATCTTATTTTTGGCATGAAGGACAAGCTTACTACTGATTGTTGAACATGTCTTTTATTAATAGAAAAATTTCTCTTCTAGACTCACAATTGTGTCCAAAGTAAAACAATTTACATAGCACATGGCTACTTTATAATAGGAGTAATCTTCCCTGAATGATTATGCCCCCATATATAGAATTCCACTATGTGTTCATATAATTTTATGACCTCAGTAAAACTGCAGTATGTGTAGTTTATCTTACGTTGTATGCTTACTTCAGTGATCTACCCCCAATAATCTTGGCTTTTCATAAAGGGGCTATGATGAGGCTTGGCTTCTTTCCTGATGTTTTTGATCCAAAAATGTTATGGTGAGAAAAGAACAAGTGTCTCATAATCTAGGGCACAGTGCAGATTTTTTTTTTTTTTAAATGTTCCAGTAGCCCTCCCTAGGAATGGGATTTGGGGATTTATAAAGCCACTAAAGTTACCTGCAACATTTTGTGTACATGAGAATACATTTATTTTTATTGAAGTGTAGATTTGCAGCTTTCAACGGAGCAATAAGAAGGTCAGATAATTATACAGCTTAAGACCTGTTGTCATCAATTTTGCAATGTCTTATAATAAACCTAATACCATTTTAATGATATTCTAAAACACTGAGAATAAAGATGATCATCTGCCGTAAGGGGCTGAGCTAATCTTTATTTTATCATACTTCCGGGCTTTTTGGGGGCAATGGTAGTTTACATAGTTAGATTTTTTTCCCCAAGACAGGGGTTTGGGTAAAATGGGTATTTAGATAATTAGTTGTAATGGCAGAAAAAGCTGAAAATAAAGGCCAATGAATGCATCAGGATATTAGTTACTAACACTTTCTCATCCCTTTCCTACTTCCTGACTTATAGTTGGCTATGCAAAGAGTCATTACTTCAGATTCTTGTGTTATGGGGCTTTTTCTTCGTGTTTTGAATATGGAAATTCTAGGTTGTCTTTCAATGAGGTCAGTTAAGGACTCTGCTAGTAAAACATTGGCTGGAAACATCTGTGGCTTAGAGCCAGTTTTGTCTTAGTTGCTTGGCAGTTCAGTTAAGACTCTACCCTCAGAACGTTTTTTTACAAACTAGTGGTTAATTTTTCCCAAACCTTTAAAAGCACCAAGAACCAAATGGACTGTGACTTAATATGTGTGTTTCTGAGGTGTAGATCAGTATTTGATTTCCACTGTGTGCCACTTTTTCTTCTGTGTGTGTTCCTTCTTTCAAGGAAGACAGCTTGGACACTTTCTGCCAATTTGCTTTGAACAGAGACATAATGGAAGCACAAGAAGAAGACTGTTATTTAAGTGGAAAGGAAGAAAACTGCTAGAAACTAGTAGACCCCAAATGCCCTTTTGCCTTCATGCCAAGATTATTCATTGCCAGAACCAAATAGCAAATGTGTTATGTCTGAACAGCTTCCCATGCTTACCACCTCTTCAATTCTAAACCCTAAAATCTATATTATATCTATGCCTTGCCTGCCTGTCTGAATCTGATTTCATTCCAAGTCATTTTCTAAAAGCTATCTTGTTAATATCCTATAAGTCAAATAAGAAGTATATGTTTTTCCAGTTAGAGAGAAGTTCACAGGTACCGATTTTTGCCTAATCGATGACATCGATGCTGGCTATTCAGATAACTAGAAATGGGACTATAATTGAGTCATGGCTCAGCTGCAGCAAAGAGAAGTGGGAATATTAACCCATGGACAATAGCAGGGAGGCAGGTGGCAGCAGTTTCAGGCCTTTTTTACAGTTCATTTATCAGTGTGGGGCAGTAAGGTAGTAACTAAAGACTAACGATCCCTATACAGTGTTACATTTTCCAGTTTTCTGTTTAAGTATCCACAGGCAATAAAAATATTAATGAAGACACATATGCACTATCACTTGTCAGAAAATGATGGAAATCAAAGCTGGCCATGTTACAATCTTCTCCTCCATGTCTCCAACACTGGCAATGAACAAACAACCCTGTGTGATTTGGGAACTCATCAAGATAGATAGTTTTTGATACTTTTATATCCTTCTGTAAATTTGATTCCTCTGCTTAACAGAGGAATATAAAAATATTATATTTTATATCTGTTAAGCAGAGGAATCAAACATTTCCTCTGTATAGCTTCTCTTAATTTTTGGATTTATAACTCTTTGAAAGTCAAGGCATAGGAAATCATTGCTAAGCCTCTAAACCAAAAAGGCTTACTAAGTTCTGAAAGCCAAATTAAGAGAAGTGCAAATGTAACAAGCAGCTTATCTGTGTAGTTCTTCCCTTGCTAGGGAGCTTTGCTCAAGCTGTTGAGGTCATAAATAAGCTTTGTATTCCTCTATAGAAGTTCATAAACATGTTTAGAGCTACAATTGTTTTTTGAAAGCAGAAAAGCAGAAGGTCACTTGGGATTATATAAGGGCTTAATTTTTAAATTAAGATGACTAAGTTATCTGAAGCTAATAAATGATTATCTCATCAAGATCATAGTACTTTGTGGGGGTAAAATATACAGTAGCATTACCCTGAGGTATCAACCACAATACTCCCCAATACCCCAACAGTATATGAAGAATGATAGCATGTCAGTCTTTTCCTTTCATCATTTTTTTAAAAAGCTGATTAACATATTAACTATGCTTGTCAAAATGTGGGACAAATCATTTATAAATAAGCCTGTCAAATGTAATGAGATTGCATATTAAATCATCCGTTTCCCTATTACATCTCTGATTTAAGATTAAAATTAATTTATTTAACATTGTAGCAGCTGGGTGGTTAGAAAAAAATTCCATACTATTCCTGATATATAGAAAAATGTCTGCATCAAAATTGATTTTGCATATATTGGAAAAGAAATTACCTGTTTAATAAGTATGATAAGGCCATTTAGCATTGCTTTTTTATTAAATAAGCCTAGTCACCATTACATATTGGCATTATACAAAGTTCTACCATCATCTTTAATGATTTCTCTTGAACCAAGGAAATAATGTTTCCTAGGACTTAGGTTTATTTACTAATGTTTTAAGGTAGAGAATAACAAATTAACCCTACCATAGCCCCTACTCTGAAAATAAATTTGTTTTATATGAGGTCCTGCAGTTTAATTTGAGGCATGAGTAATAATAATAACAATAATAGGTGCTTTTATTGAACACAGACTGTATTCTGAGCTCTGCTATGTGTTTTAATTGCTTACCTGTTTTACCATGATACAGTAAAAGGAAACCAAACCCAGAGAGACTAAATAATATGGGTAAGGTCATGCAATTAGTAAATACAATGCATGCTCAAACTCAAGGATAACCTATTCAAAACTTTTTTTTTTTTTGCATTACACTATATAATCTCTTAAGAAGATTTATTTAAAAATTAGTCTTTATTTTACCACGAGAGCAACTCCAAAACACAAATACAGTAAAACATATATTTTATAGTTTAGCCTATACTCTGAGTTTTGTCATGTCCTTTGCATAGTTCAAATATAGTGGGTATCTTTCACCCCTACTCAACAGTCTATGGACTGCTTTTCTCTCCTGACATCAATGTTTGAAGACATTTTACTATATAGTTTTATGCAAGGAAGAGTTTTTTTAAAAAATAAACTAACACGCAATTCATTGGATTTAATACATTTTCATGGGACCAGTATCTATGCTGGCATATATTAATATTTTCCCAATTCTTAGCCCTTACTTATTTATTACCCTTGCTAAAATGAATGAGTTCATTTTAAACCGAAGGGTAGTAAGAACGAGAATTTGAGTTCATGAGTTATGTTGAATCATGTGTCTGTCAGCACTGTTTGTACTATTTCTAATTAATCAGATCATAAGACCAAGAAGCATATGAATTAGTTACTGTCAAAGGTAACACATCTTTAAGAGTTCTTGAGAACTGCTCAAATAATGCATGATCCAAGTGACTTGTTGGTGTAGCCACCAAAATGCAATGGAACATAACAAAAGAACTGGGGACAATCAGGAGGGTATCCAGGAGATTGAAGCTGATCTCGTGGTGGCAGCCATGGTTTCTAAGTACACTCCCACTACTGAAGTCCCTTAAAATTAGGATGACCCTATAGTTTATTATTATGCCAGGACACCTTTGAGAGTTAATAATTCTGCCAGGATAATAGGTGTAAAACAGAGATAACTGTGACATGTGGTCACTTTTCTCATAATGCACTACAGCAATAATTTGCCAAATACTATTAATCAGAAGAGACTTACCACATTTGTGTGTTTAATTCACACTAAGGACTGGTGACTTCAAACTCAAATTCCTTGCAACAAACTTAATGTTACATTGCCTAATAC